GACTTGCATGAAAATCTGATGATTTTTTGGGTTATATTTATGCAGAAATATAGACAATTCTAAAGGGTTCGCAAACTTTCAAGCAGCACTGTACTTGAAACAGCATATATGATACATATATTCCATTATCCTTAAAAATATGAAAGACGAAACAAAATGTTGATGCTATACTCATCCAGGAAAAAGTATTTTTAATGACAGTCCTGTAGTGTATATGACAAACCTCACGTTTAAAAAGGTTGGTTTTCCCTCAGGGTGTATAGGTTAACGATGAATGCATTTAGCGAACAGTCTAGACCACTTCCTTGCCAGTAAAATGGAAATGTCTCTTCTTTTTTATTTTGGGGGAGCTCAAGGAAGTGTAGGTTCAATGGGGACTTCAATGTCCACATTCTTGAAGTTCCTGTAAGGTTTCCAAGAGTTTTGAGATGCGAGGGCAACCACCTACAGTTGCTACCAGGAACTTACAGAACAGGAAGGAAAGGTTACCACAACAGAACTATTTTTCTGTTTAAGACACACCCCTAATTTCCCAGTTCACAAAGCGTATTTGCATGCTCCTCTATTCAGATTTCAAAACATGTGCACTTTAAAGACAATGCTAAACCGTTTATGATAATCTTCTCTGCTTCCTTTTATTATCGTGTTGTGACAAGAAGAGATATTTACAGCTCTGACCCAACCTGAGTTTTAGAAGAGACATCATTTCTAGAATATCGATCAGACTGGTCATACAAACTGATGGCATTCATTCAGTGTTGCTACAGTAGATGTAGATAATTAAAGCTACATTAATTATCACTTTAATTTAAAGCAGCTATGTCTATTTTCAGTAGATTTACATATTATAAAGATAATCGATTATATATATATATATATATATATATATAGAGATAGATAGATAGATGCAATCTAAATATAAAGATTATATAAAACGTATTTAAAATGCAAGTGGATTAGTAATGTGTCCACTAGAGGGCATAACAATCAAGGAATAACTAAAATAGACGCTGAGTTGCAGTATGCACTGGACTCTCGTTTCCGCTTGTTTAAATGCAGATGCGGAAAGGAACATTGCAGATGTTTTGTAATACTGCAATCAGAGGTGTAGTTTGCGGGGGGATGGGGGGAGGAACCACCCAATAACCAAAATTACCAAGTACATATATACATATAACAGCCTAACATATAGGACTATTATAATCTTTTTAAAATACCCACCTTTACTAGAATTGATCACGTTTTATTGTAAGCTTATTTATTGTGTCTAACTTGTTGTAGAATTTATAATAGATAATCTGTTAAGAGACTAGATTTTTCCCTATAGATTTATATTACAACTGCAGCACTATTGTCTCTAAATGTGCAGGCTGTTGTTTTTCATAACAAATGCTATACAGAATAACAATAATAGTCATTATTGGCCTGGTAATGATTAATAGGCTAGCTTTATTATAACAAATGCTACAGTTAAGAGTTATGGTACATTTTCATAAGACCAAGTACAAGTCAGAAAAGAAAGCCATGTGTAAATGGGTTCTAATGATGAGTGATGGAAAAACCTGGCCTTCAGATATTCCAAGAGATGGCATAGATTAAATCATTAAGAGCCTGATGAACTATTAAGGAGTAAGAAATAAACAATATCAATATTAGAAAATGTTAAGTTAGATGTTGAATTAGAACATTCTGTCAAATTACAGCCTATAAGTGCCTAAATAATATAAAATGCATTATATATCCTATGTAAACAAGTAATTGTTAACTAGGCTATTATTACTTTATTGCAGTTATGTTATCAACCAACTGTGCATGTGGATGATAGCACAAAAGACCATTTTACAAAAATAAACCTATATGCAAACAAACAAACAAATAAATAAACCTTATGAGGGAGTATGACCCGGGACTCTACTAAAACAGTTCACACTTCAACCCTCCACAATGTTCAAACCAAAACTACGCCCTTGACTGCAATCAAATTGCAATCAATAACTGTTGAAGCAGAGATAACTGTTGACAATCATGTATGATTTAATTTGTTAAATATATGTATATATGTATGTATGACTATAAAACACTGGTTCTCAACATTTTGACTCTAAGACCAAGATATGTTTATGTACTTCTGATATGTACCTGATTAATCTCTCTCTCTCTCTTTTTACAGTACATTCATTTCCATTTGCATTTACAGGTTCTCCCGCACCATGCATACCAGAAGACTCGTATGTACTATTATAAAGCTATGCATTGTTGAAATTGCTATGAAATACAAAACTGCGTTTAAAACTTGTGCGCTACATATATTTTGTCACACCCAAATTAAGGCAATTTTATTTTCTGTAGAAACTCTATCCTTTACACTCAACCCATTCTGAACAATCGCATTTGTGCTATAAACATTTATACTGAACATACTAAAGCTAGCTGTTTTATGTTTCTCTAGCAGTGCTTTTTGGCTTTAAAGTTTTAAAACGAAAGTCAACAGATTCATGCGGAGCACTAGGACTTTTCAGAAGAGAAGAGAAAACTGGAAGAGAAATGTAGAAGTGTGTACCCTGCACTGGTTAGGAAGGTAAGTCAACAGAGGTTTGAGGAAATTATACATTCAAGAATAAAATATGACCACCATCTTACCGCAACCACCCCCAGATATGGTTTCAACACAAATGAGAGAAAAAACATCATATCCGGGTACTTTTTCTGATTTGGTGACCTCATTTTAATAGAAATTGTATGACTATTTCAATTTCAGTAATTACTGGATTTCATCTGCATCACAGAGTGTATAAACGGAATGATTATTATTTTTTTTATTCAAATATTTTTTTTTATTTTTATAATACTTACAATACACTCCAACAGCAAAATATGATCAAGCAAGACAGAAAAGTAACACTAACATGTAAATTAAACTGCTATGGTTATTTTTTAATAGTAATTAATAATATGCAGACATAAACCTGCTGTCACAGAGTTTTGAAACTAACTTTGGGTATTTTGGTTGGATTGGCTCTCATAAAGCAGAAGTCCATTCCCACATGTCATTCATTCACAGCCAACTAACTGTGGTATACGACAGATGGTTTAGGTTATTAATTTTATCAAAGTAAATACCAAAGAGGATGTATTCACGTGAGGCCTGACCCTGGGAAAACTAACATATGGCTAGATTCTGTATTCTGAACATAACTTGTTACAATGCAGTTTCAAGCAGGACTTAATAATTCACTTGTATGAACACACTGCATACTGAACACACAATGTAATACTTTAGAATAAAAATGCTAGTATGCATAAATCCCTTGCATGATTACAAGTATAGTTCATTTATGCTAAAGGTAAATTGAGGCATCATGAGCATCAGATGTGAGTGTCTCTATCTAGACATAAACTCAGGTGACACTGTGCCTATTGACCTTGATGTTGAGGTCATACCACAATTCAAGACGGCACAAAGGCTCATGGGCTTTGAGGGCATCTGTCAAGCGTTGCTGTTCCTCTATCAAAAGCTGGACTTCCTTCCTCAGCAGGCTGTTTTCCTGTTCCAGACATTCATACACCTGGTTACAGAAAATTTCAGTACGTCAAAAACCACATCAATCAGATGCATCAATGTGCATTTGATGTATTTTCCCATGCTTGCCCACAATTATCAACATATGTCTGCATGGTGAAAATACACATTATAATAGAACAAACGCAAAAATCAGCATCTTTTATATTTTATATAATTTGCAGCTTGCAAACCTCATGCAACTCATCAGCTCTCTGGGTTTGTCTTTTGCGGCTCCTCTGTGCAGCAACTCGGTTCTTTTCTCTTCTTTTCAGCCTTTTCTCATCATCATCAGAGCTCTGAATCACAGTCATATGTTATGGTTGTTATGATGTGTTGTTTCCTGAATATTTTACATTAATGTTCAGTTTTATCTCATCAGAACAATTCACAAACAGTAAACCATAAAATCATTTTGGGTGGCACAGATCAGAAAGACGAGAATGTATGTTAGGTGGAAATTTATTAGTAATTTATACATGTTTATTTTAGTTTATAAACTTGTTTTGTAATTATGTAAAGAAAAGGAAACAAGAATAAATAAGTAACATACCTCACGAACAATTCACAAACAGTAAACCATAAAAATCATTTTGGGTGGCACAGATCAGAAAGACGAGAATGTATGTTAGGTGGAAATTTATTAGTAATTTATACATTTTTATTTTAGTTTATAAACTTGTTTTGTAATTATGTAAAGAAAAGGAAACAAGAATAAATAAGTAACATACCTCACTCTTTCGAAGCAACCGTAAAGCTGGAGCATCATTTCGATTAAAGTTACTTGTCGCATTGAAAAGTGACATGACAGGTGCAGAAGAGCACGAGCGCAATAAAGACTTCCGTTCACAAAATTGTATGAAAAATTAAGGCGAACTATTACGTCGTTTTAATTAGCGCATAGTTAGACACGTTTAAACTGTCAGTCAACATCCCTCAGTAACTAGTGATTTCTTGCAAATGCCTTCGGCTGATGTTCTTTGAAGTCACGTGGTGCTCTCGAGAACTCCAATAACTTCTGACGGTGTGAACGTTTTCGTAGTTTTAACGCTTTTGGGTCATTCCACGAAATTACTGTCTTTTCCATTTTGAACAGGTGATTTCTAAAAGCTATTTTAAAGTATTTAAACATTCTGTCAGGCAATATGAATGTCTTTAAGAGTAAAATCAAATGCAGGCAAAATAAGTTAAATTAAAAACCGTAATACTGTCGTAAATGGATATGCATTACAGAAGATAACACGACGGAGTTTTAGTTCTTTTAGCCATTACTAGCCATTCGCTCAAAGTTATATATTCCTGCATCTTTATAGAGAAAGAAGACATAAAAATAAAATATTAGTGATTTTTTGTTAAGAAAACTGTCAGCTTTTCATCTTTGTTCACTTAGGATACAAAAAGAGCCCTTCTAGTCAATGTTTATTTGGCTGATTTGTTAAATAAAAAGATGTTCAGTGCCATACTGTCGTAAATGGATATGCATTACAGAAGATAACACGACTGAGTTTTAGTTCATTTAGCCATTACTAGCCATTCGCTCAAAGTTCTATATTCCTGCATCTTTATAGAGAAAGAAGACATAAAAATAAAATATTAGTGATTTTTTGTGTTAAGAAAACTGTCAGCTTTTCATCTTTGTTCACTTAGGATACAAAAAGAGCCCTTCTAGTCAATGTTTATTTGGCTGATTTGTTAAATAAAAAGATGTTCAGTGCCAGTTAATTTGGAAACCAACACTGGTAGACCAATAACACCTTGTGGTATGAACCTGGGCCACATCAGCACAATAGTTCTCTAAAAATGTAATTTATTGTAATTGAAAAAGAAAGTGGTGAGAAACTATATGCACAAAGTATTTCTTTAATATTTTTTTACATTATATAGGTAAGAATCAGCATACAAAACACTTATTTAATAACAGGTGTCAATACAACACTCCTTTACTGCCCTTCTCCATAGCCACACAAAATGATACACACATACAGATACACATTAATTTACATCAGTCTTTTGGATGATTTCTGGAGTGGGTACATAGTCTGCACTGTATTCTGAATCAGACACAGCTCTTTTGATGGTGGAGGGAATCCTGTGGTGAAGATCTGGACAGACGTCTCCTACTGAACTGCCAAACACTTCTCTGTAGATTTCCACCGACTCCGCGGAAGGCTGCATGTCAAGTACTTGACGCAAACCATCAGCTGCCTGTTTCAGACTTTTCAGAGACTGAACAGAATGAAGGAAAATGGAGCATGTTAATATATATATAACCGAAAACCAATATTAGAAATTGAAATAATATTTCACAATATTTTGCTGTTTTTTTCTGTATTTTTGCTCAAATAAATACAGCCTTGATGAGCAGAAGAGACTCCATTAAAAACATAAAAAATCTAACTGATCCCAAACTTTTGAATATATATATATATATATATACAGTACTGTGCAAACGTCTTAGGCCATTAGTATTTATCAACAAAAAAAAGTGTCTTTTGCTGTAGTGTGTCAGTAGGAAATATCAGTTTACAATTCCAAACATTCCTTTTGCCATTAATTGTAACAATCCAGTGAGATGTTTGTATGCACAAGGAGTCTAACAGCAGCCAGTGCTCCACACAGAGATCTGATCTCACCATCATCCAGTCTTGTCTGGGATTACATGAAGAAACAGAAAAAAACTGAGACAGAATAAATCCAGAAAAACCACGGCAGCATCTCCAAGACACCTGAAGAATACTACCTGCAAAGCTACAGTACTGTGAAAGGTTTTAGGTGTAAAAATGCTGTAAAGTGAGGATGCTTTCAAAAATAGATTTTATTTATCAATTAACTTCAATTAATACAATCAAACCAATTTTTGCTGCAACCACCCTTTTTGTTTTAAAACCACTTTTGTCCTAGGTGCACTTGCACATAGTTTTTCAGGTAGCTTTGCAGGTAGGTTTCTTCAGGTGTCTTGGAGACGTTGCCACAGTTCTTCTGGATTTATATTCTGTCTCAGTTTTTTCTGATTCTTCATGTAATACCAGACAGACTGGATGATGGTGAGATCTGATCTCTGTGTGGAGCAGTGGCTGTTGTCAGACTCTTTGTGCTTACTGGATTATTACAATTAATGGCAAAAGGCAAAGTTTGGAAATGTAAAATGATATTTCCTACTGACACACTACAGCAAAACATAGAAATAACTGGCTTAAAACCATTTTTTTTTTTTTGATGGCAAAAATACTAATGGCCTCAGCAAAAGATAGACATAACTGGCTTAAAACCATTTTTTTTTTTTGATGGCAAAAATACTAATGGCCTAAGACTTTTGCACAGTACTGTATATGTACACACACACAAGCATGGTAATTATAATACATTTGTACCTTCATAACCGTACTGGCTTGTCTGAACACTGCAGGTGCAGCAGCTGATACATTTCTGATGACAAACTCTGTGAAAACAACGTTTAACAGCTAGTAACGAATACTGCATAAAGCACTGTTGTACAAATTATGCACTTTTACTAAACAAAAAAAAAAAAAAAAAAAAAAGAAAGAAACAGAAAGGTGCACACACCTTGAGCTGGGTCTGGCTTTAGGTCTTGTGGCTTCACTGCCTGTTCATACAAACCCTAAAATAATGGATTAACAGTAAAAACATATAAGCTAAATTCACACAGCAACATTTAGGTCTTCTAAAAAATCAAACTGACCTGTTCTCTGAAAAAACACCAAAGTATACTGTACTTTTCATCCCAGTGTCTCACATGAGTTACAGAAACACAATAGTTTATTTTCAAATACTGTATATTACGACTTCTAGTGGCCAGAGGTGGAACACCTACAATTTTACAACTGTAAAAGAATGATATTATGACATCTAGTGGCCAGTGGTGGAACATGTAAAATAATTAATTTACTCAGTGCAATGCGTTCTCAAATAGTTCCAAATATAAATAAATACAAATAATATCCTATAAAGACTAATATTAATATTAAGTTTGTAATGTTATTATTTCAATAATTGAATTTGTTTGTGATATATATTTCAATAATTTAATGTTTGTGATATATATATATATTTCAATAATTGAATGTTTGTGATATATATATATATATCTATCACAAACAAATTCATTTATTGAAATATATATATATATCTATCACAAACAAATTCATTTATTGAAATATATATATATATCTATCACAAACAAATTCATTTATTGAAATATATATATATATAGGAGAAAAAAAACATGTCTCACCAGAAGTTTCCTCTCTGCTCTTAATGATCGCACAACCTTGTTGCGTATTTGCTTTGGGTAAGAGTTCCGTTTGCAGGCGGTCTCTACTATTTTCTCATCCAGAATGTCATTTATTGTGCTCTCATAGTCTAAATACACAAAGTAATGGTTAATAATGTTATGGCTTGGGTTTGCAAAAAGTGTAATGAGTTCTCTGAGACTGTAACAGTAACTTACCTTCACAATAATCCTCTGACGCCTCGTCCCATGACAAGCCACCAATAACTAGATTTTCTTGCACTGTGAATTCAAAGTTCTGAAAGATAAAAGAGACAAATAAGGTGAATGGAAAAAACACACAGCAACAACAGCAGAAACGGCAACAATAATAAAGATGATGAAAAACACATTTGAGTAACGTTAAGTGGGTTTTGTGTCTATCAAATTTAGAAAACGAAGTCGATGTCATAACTCCCATACTTGAATACCACAAGCAAAACAGATGGTGTTACTATGTTAAAACCATGATACACTTGATAAAGACAAAAAATACATGAACTGGCATCTCTTTTATTCTACTAGACTTACCACAACCATTTCTTGCAGCAATTTGGTTTTGTCTTCCTCAGAAATCTGGCATTGGCCATCGAGCAACTTTTTGAATAAGTCTTTATAGTTCTCAAGCTGTTCACGAACATGTTTTTTCGACTTGACATTTACTCTACAATCTGCCCCGCTCTCACGATCTTCCTTCATGACTGCCGCTTATTTTTCAAAATAAATCCTGGAAACGGAAGCAGAATGGGTTTACAACGAAAGAAACCCTGAGAGAAACACTTCAGCGGACGAAGCGTTCCGCCTTCCAGGCAATCGTTAAAACAGATTGAGAAAATGCCGTAGAGATCATGAAAACAACGAGTGGTTTAATAACACGTTTTATTTACTAATTTAAACAGAAACGTGCTCAAAATATTTTATATACACTAACATCATTGCTAGAGTACTTATTGACTGTCACTGTCACCTGTTAGCAAATGAGTTTACACAGATACGTTAAGAAAACTCATGCAGTCAACTAAATTGCGAAAGTCTTATCTTCAAGCAATAAACACAATGGCGTTTCCCTGCTTTATAAATGTGTGCTTCAGCCCTACTGAAAACACACACACACACTTAGTCTGGTCAGCTATCCTTGTGGGGACTCTCCATAGGCGTAATGGTTCCTACCCCTCACAGGAAACTTTCTGCATTTTTAGATTTTCAAAAACCTTCATTCTGTATGATTTATAAGCTTTTGTACCCGTGGGGACCACAATTTAGGTCCCCACCGTGACACGAGTCCCCATGAGTCTGTGTGTAGTGAGGTTTAAGTCCCCACCAGGATATATAAACCAGTACACTTAAACCAGCCAAAGCGTGTTTGTTGGTCTCAGCTGGTTTAATTCTTTTCAGCAGGTAGTTCACAGTGATTTAATTGCCATGGTACAGCACTTACAGTAAATTGGGCCACTTTTTGACCGAATGAAGTTACAATAATCAAAACAAAGACACATGTTATTATATAGCCTAGTGTTTTATGTAAACTGTCGTATAAGCTGTGTTGTATATCAGTGTTTATGTAACCAATATGCAGACAAAGGGTTTGCTGCCACCAGAAATCAATTGCACAGTTAATTGTTACATAACCTAGTCTGTATATTAAGTTATTTTCATGGTTTTCCCTAGGACATAGATGATGTACTTCTGAGAGCTAAAAAGGTAAGCTTTTGTCAAGCCTAAGAAAATAAATCTGATAAACAATCAAAGTTGACTCACTCAGAGGTTGCAATGATGACCTCTTCTGTTTAATGAATGTAATTTTAGGCTGAAGTGAAAGCTCTTGTGGCAGTTACAGAGGGAGCCAGTCAAAAACGTAAGTTAAACACAACCTCTCATGTGTCAACAAAAGCTTTGGATGAGAACATTCTCACTGAGGAGTTTCTTGTGCCGTTTAGAATGACAGTGTTCCAGTTGCACACACACCACGTATGCTTACACAGCAATGGACACATGCAGCTTTACTAATATTTAATGTTTTTGATATAGCTATCCTGGTTTTGTGTTCCCTTGTTTTGGCATTCATCCCCTTCAAGGATCAGGGCAAGACTTGCATAGTGTTAAGACTCAGGTGAATGTAAAATAACATGACATAGAAAAATGTACATTAAAAGGTTTACCATGCTTTATATTAGTTTCAGTTAAACAGGACCTGGAGCCATAACTTCCTTTGTTCCCGAAATACAGAGATGATATTGTTGCAATCGGGGAGGTAAAGTAGATATTATCTTTTTTGCACAATTTTCAACAGACACTGCTGGGGATTTTTATATTATATAAATATTATGTAAAATGAATTGACCCAACACCTACCAAACAAAAATTCAGCTTACTTTGATTGCATTGTTTATATAAATGTAGAGAAGTCATTTTAAGGAGTGTGAAATTAATTAAATGAAGTGAGAAAATTTAAAGAAGTTCTTAGCAAACTCCCAAGGTGGCATCAATATGACTTAAAATGATTTAGAGTGATTAAAATAAGCCCAAAAAAATCAAGATATTTGTTATATTAATTAACTTTTTTTAAGAACTAGAATCTAAATTAATAAAATCTTCTAACTCCATATGTTATCAGGTAGAAATTGTAAAGTAAAAATATTAAAAAAAAAATACTTATCTAGTAAATCATGAAAAACTGGAAAAGTCATTGATCCTTCAAATATTGTTATATACAATGGAGGGCCTTGGAATCTAAAAGGTTGAGAACCATTGGTCTGGGTATAATAATAATACAAACATTTTTTTGGGAAATTGTACAAGGCTAGGGAAGCTAGGCCTCACATTTCGAATTTTGATTTTAAATATTGAGTCTCAATTGTACTCTGTAGCTCATCTACTTGTTACATAATGTGGTCTATGCTTGCTAATATTTTTTTCTTTTTGGTCTTGACTTTAATCCCTGGTTTGCAAATACCACTCAAGAGCATGACGAACAGATAAAAGTCTTTATAAAAAAACTTGAAATATCTAAAGATCTGAATTTGCCAGTGTGAGTTCTTACTTCTTACTAGAAAGTTACAGGAAATCATACAAGCAGCTCAGAAATGGCAACATGGTTTGCCAATTTTTAACACTACTTTGCATAGCAAAATATATTGTATACTGAACTTACCCTTCATTTTGTAGTTTCTTTAATGCTCATAACTAAGTCCATTCTTTTATCCTAAAGGAATGTACATTCCCGGTCAGCAGCCAAGGTTGCCATAGCCACAATGAAAGAACTAGGTAAGAGCTAGCAAATCATTGTGTCTCTGTGACCTTTGCAGTCGCAGCTGAATTTCTTGCAGAATTCTTCTTTTATGTCTTTAGGGATTAGACAAGCATTATTGCATAATTTTGCCAGGAAGCCATCGGTTGCTATGGAAGGGGTTCAGGCTGGATTATTCTCCTTTCTGCCTGCCGTCAGCAAAAACGAGCAGGTTGGATAAGGATTCTCATTTAGTGCCATAAAGTCATTAGTATTATAAGCATGCAATAAAGACATATATTAAATAATGACCCTGTTCCACGTCACATGCCACACTGTTAAAAATTTCCTGTATAAATTACAGTAACTTACTGGCAGCAGTTCGCCAGTAACTTACTGTAAATTAAACTTACAGTAAAAGTACTGTATTAATAATTACAGTACCATTTAACTTGCTGTAAATGTATTTACAGTATGTATACTGTACTTTTAGTTTTGACTGTACATTTTTATTATTTTATGAAAATAAGCAATGACAACTGTGTAACTTTACATTTTTTTAATTGTAATCCTTGCAATAACATTTTAATATTTTCAGTTTCAGTTAAGACTCAAACAAAACATTGTTACAAACTATTATATATATTACATACTATTCTAACTATTATAGGTAAAATTCTTAAAATTTATCCTAAGCACAACATACTATGATAATAGTGAATAGTGACGATAGTGAATCTTCAAAAAGAACTCAAACTTTTGTTACACACAAGAAGCATGGACTATTTTTTTTCAAAGCTGCCAGCTGAAATCCACAAATTCTTTAATGAAGGAGGACACATGAGGGTTCAGGCCAGAGTTTCTCCTTTGCACCATCTTCCCACTTCTTTTGCTGATCTGGAATTTTGCAGAGCACTTGCTGTTGACAGGACTGATCCTCGCAATGAACCTTAACATAAAAGAAATAATTCATTAGACCATTTCATTTTCTTTGTAAAGACTTTTTAAAGCATTAATTCAGCCAAAATGAAAATCTTATGTTGTTAAAAACCCATAAAACTCTGATTCATTTTCAGAACACAAATGAAAATTAATATTCTCTCTTAATTTTTGTCTATCCAGTGGTTGAGTTATTTATTGCGGGGATTTTGCGTCTTCTCTTCACGAGAGAGCAGTTCTAAGCACCATCGAATTGATGCATTCTTCGGTAAAATACAGGTTTGTGTACATTTTATTTTATCTATAAAATCGTCACTGTGCTGTATATCGTTCAATTTTATGCAGAGCAACATACAGGGGCGCAGAATGAGTGTCGCGGTCTTTTCACGTGATAGAAAAGCCTGATATTTGCATAAAATAAATGACTTTATTAATAAAGATACAGAATATAATACTGGATGTTAAAACGTCCTCAGAGTTGTTTATTGTTTGTTTATTGGCAGGTTATGGAGTCACAGAATGCTTCGGCTACAGAGTGTAACGCAGGGCGGCGGTCCGTTAGCAGTTCCCCGCAGAACACGACTCCAGCTCGGGCACGAGAACCAGCGCCGTTACGGTGGAAACAGAATAACAGAGACTGGTCGATTACACGTGAATGACTTCTGTTTAATGTTCAATTTTTCTTCTAATGTTTGTTAAACGAGTTTAAATATAGGCAATATGTATAGCCTAAAAACGATATAAACAATGCTGTAAATGTTAAATAAAGGAAAATAAAGGAAGTTATCATGCAAACCAGTGGTTGTGTGAAGTAGCCTGTTTTAGAAAAGTTTAGAGGATTTAAGTTAATCTGTAAGCATTATTTAATGTATGAAGTAAAAAATAAGATCGTAATATAGTAAAATTGAATAAACCCTATTAGCTGGGTTAAATCAACCCATTATGAAAAACAACCTGGTTAAATTTAACCCAAGATGGGTTATGTCCTATATTTACCCAGCCCTTGGGTTAATAACAACCCAAACTGGGTTGTTTTTAACCCAGTGTTTTTTAGAGTGTACACTCTAAAAAATGCTGGGTTAAATGCAACCCAGTGCTGGGTAAAATAGGGACAAACCCAGCAATTGGGTTGTTTTGACCCAGCGGTTGGGTTAAATGTTCAACCCAACCTTCTGGGTAGTAACCCAACCACTGGGTCAAAACAACGCGACAAAATCGGGACGCGATTTCTACCGAGGGGACCATCCCCCCGGAACGCGATCGCGATTTCTACCGAGGGGTCCCAACCTCCTCCCCCCCAAACAAGCCGTGACCCTATCCAAATATCAAAAGTCAACATATGCTACTTCCATTCCTAAAATACATATTTTACAGTCAATGTTATGCATTATACACAATTTCAACTAGTAGGCCTACCATAGTAGTCATAAACAGAAGCTCAAAGGCTGCTCCCTCACAAATGTCATAATCTAGCACAGTATTATTATTGGTATGTAAAATATTTCAGTACACGCATTTCAGTCCATTACAATTTTTGCAATATGTCAAACCTTTAAACCGCGGGAAAAGAAAAACCAGTTTGTAGCATGATGTAGTTTTTTTTACTGTTAAAGCTAGGGTTGTCAGTAAAATTAATTCAACGTAGGCCTAATTGATCTCATTTAAAAAGCAGCATTGCTGAAACAGCATTGCCAATTTCAGTAAATGTGTTTAAAAATTGCATTGAACATATGTAATCTAGCCTCTTACATTATCACGTTAACTCTGACAGAGGATTTTGCAAAAGTCTCCCACATTTCCACCAAGCCCAGACTGAACCTAGCATACATTGATTTCACTGTGACATTTATTATACTATTTTAATAATATGGAATAAAGAAAAAAAAATACAAGAGCAAGAGGTAGGCCTAACATTAGCTACCAGACAAAAAATGACAAATTTA